CCCTTCCAGCCCCTGGTAAGTACTAATCTATTTTCTGTCTCTGTGGATTTTTCTTTTTTTTTTTTTTTTTTTTGTCTTTTGTCTTTTTCCGTGTCCGGCAACGGATCGCAACCCTCAGTGTTGCCCCCGTACCGGACCGGGGACCGGCAACGGAATCGCAACCCTCGGTGCTGCTCCCGCGCCTCGCTCAGCCAGTGAGCGGGAACCGGTCTGTATGTGGGATCCGAACCCTCAGGCGGGAGCGCCGCTGCGCTTCCCAAGCGGCGCACTTATCCAGTGCGCCACCGGGCCGGCCCATCTCTGTGGATTTTTCTATATTGACATTTCTTATAAATGGGAGCATACAATATGTGGTCTTTTGTGTCTGGCTTCTTTCACTTGACATAATGAATGTTTCTAAGGTTTATTTATGTTGTAACATGAATCAGTTCTTTATTCCTTTCCATGACTGAACAATATTCCATTTTATGGATATATCTGGTAATTTTTGACTTGATGCTGGACATTTTTATTTTATATTGTTGGGTGCTAGATTTTGTTGTATTCTTTTGTAGGGCTTTGTTCTGAGATGCAGTTAAGTTATTGGCAATCAGTTTGATCCATTTGATCCTGCCTTTTAAGCTTTGTTGTTGTGGTTCTAGAGCAACCTTTAGAGTCTGAGGTAATTTGGCCCCACTGGTAATCCTTCTGAGGATTCTTCTTGATACCCTGTGTATTAGGAGATCTTTCCATGCCAGCTAGTGAGAACACAAACTATTCCCAGTCCCTTATTTTTTTAATTTTTTTATTTAAAAGATGACTGGTAAGGGGATCTCAACCCTTGACTTGGTGTTGTCAGCACCACGCTCAGCCAGTGAGCGAACCGGCCATCCCTATATGGGATCCGAACCCGTGGCCTTGGTGTTATCAGCACCGCACTCTACCGAGTGAGCCACGGGCCGGCCCTTCCCAGTCCCTTATTTTTTTAATTTTTTTATTTAAAAGATGACTGGTAAGGGGATCTCAACCCTTGACTTGGTGTTGTCAGCACCACGCTCAGCCAGTGAGCGAACCGGCCATCCCTATATGGGATCCGAACCCGTGGCCTTGGTGTTATCAGCACCGCACTCTACCGAGTGAGCCACGGGCCGGCCCTTCCCAGTCCCTTATGAACTCTGGGAATTGTTCTACCTACTTCTTTTTGGTGGTTCCTGCCCCACCCTTGTATATTTTCCTCACACATACACAGATCACACTCCATTAAAGTTTTGAAAGAGGATCCCTCTCTGGATCTCCAGAATTCTCTCTTGTGTAACTTCCTCCTGTCTGGTATTTTGCCCTGGAAATTCTAGCTGCTTTGGTCTCCCTGAGCTCTGAACTATGTTCATTCAACTGAACAAGATGCCATGCTTCATGTGGGCTACCCTTGCTGTACTGTGGCCTAAAAACTGTCTCCAGGTAGTAAGCTAGGGCAGTCATTGGGATCACTTTGTTTGCATCCCTTCTCTCAGGGATTAATGTCCTGGGCTGCCTGTTGTCCAAGTCTGAAAACTATTATTTATGTATTTAGTCCAGTTTTATAATAATTTAAGATGGTAAGGTAAATCTGGTCCCTGTTACCCCAGGCTGTGTTTTAAGGCAGTTTAAATGAAATGAGACATATAAAGAAATAATAGAAAAGTAATAGTAACAAACACTAAGAAGCTAGTATTCAAGTCATATGAATAATATTATTACAATTATTAAGTGCTAGTTTTTTCTCTGAACTTCCCACAAATCAGCACCGAAAGGAAAGAACAGAGCAAAAGGTTATCTTATAGAAGAAATAAACAATTTTCAGTAGAGAAAAGAAATGCTTTTTACTCTAAATTTCAAGGCAGATTTATCTCTTGGGACCTTATATGGGGAACTGCTATGAGATTTTTACATCTCTGTCCATTGTGACAGCTGGGGCAGCTGGCGGGAGTGATGCTGAGGCGACAGCTGCTGACTGGAAGAAGTGTGACTTGATTGCAAAGATTTTGGCCTCTTGTCCCCAGCAGTGTCTTTCACCAGAGAATTACTACAGGCATATTTGCCCCCAGGTAAATAATTTTGTTTCTTTTGATTTTTTGAGGATTATGTGCTTATTTATGGAAGGAGGACTTTTAATGATCCTCTAATATTGAGGTAAAAACAATATGCTATGTAAATTCAGAGAGGAGATTTCTTAATAAATGAATAGAAACTTGTGGAAGAGACTGACTGTATTATTAGGTTTAAGAATGCCTCACTGTTATTAAATAACTAGTCCAGCTTGCTCTCAGAGAATATGAAACTAAACTTTCATCTTGTTCATTACTTTCTCTCTTGGTATGTTTTTAATTAGTTTTTAAAAGTAGATATTAAATAAACAAGGTAAATTAGCATGGTACATAATTTAAAAAGCACAGAAGAGTAAACTGAAAAGTAAGTCTCCTTCCCATCCCTTTTCTCTAGTCTCTTACAGGTAATCACTGTTAAACAGTGACTAAAAAATAAACAATTTCCTGTGTATTTTCCAGAAATATTCTATGTATTATGCATATATAATTGTATGTGAATCTAGTGTGTATATATTCTAATTTTTATCCAAATGAACATGCTGCACACACTGTTTTTCATTTTGCTTCTTTCACTTAAAAACGTACCTTGGGGGCCGGCCTGGTGGCGCACTGCTACAGTGCGCCGCTTGGGAGCGCGGCGGCGCTCCCCCCGAGGGTTCGGATCCCACATGCAGACCGGTTCCCGCTCACTGGCTGAGCGAGGTGCGGGCACAGCACCGAGGTTTGCGATCCCGTTGCTGGTCCCGGTCCGGTACAGGCGCGACACTGAGGGTTGCGATCCATTGCGGGACACGAAAAAGGACAAAAAAAGGGAAAAAAAAAAAAATGTACCTTGGAAATCATTTCATGTAGAGTCATTTCATATAGAGCCTCATTCTTTTTCATGGGTGCATAATATTTCGCAATAATTTATTTAACCAGACTGCTATTGATGGACATTTGAGTTGTTTTCATTCTTTTGCTATTACAAACCACACTGCAGTTAATATTCATAAATCTTTCTGCATATGTGTCAGTACTCCATAGGACAAATTTCTAGAATTGAAATTACTAGTTCAAAGGATATGTGCATTTAAATTTTTTTTGATATTGTTTATTTACCTGTTTTCCTATACCTTTACCTGCATAGTGTGTTACAGAACTTTTAGATCTTTGCTAATCTGATAGGTGAAAAATGTGGAAGCAATTTTCTTTTTCTTTTTATTTTTTTGTGGCTGACTGGTATGGAAGGACTTCTCTTAATCAGTAGTCCCTGTGAATTTAGATGTAAGACACATCTTTTGGAGAATAGTCTAAAGAAGGCCATTTGGTTGTCACACTGATCTTCAGGGTTCTCGTGGGTAGGCACGCATAGGAACAACATATTACAATGCAAAGAGCTTATATTGAAAATACTAAATATATTTATCAGTTGCAATGATGAGTAAATATTTTCAAAACTAGTAGCTATGGTTTCTGTACTTAACAAAATGATAAAGTCAAAGCACAGGTTTCAGCCTTGATGAGTCTTTTTTGGCAGTGTTTGAGGTCACATACTGTTTTCAGACAGAAGGTTCTTTTGTCTGCAAAAAGTGCAAGAGTCGCTTTTAATTCAGCAATCAAAAATTAATTTTCCATTGGTTGCTTTTGGTGCCACTCACAAGCACTAGGGATAAATGTTTGTTTATTTTTGGTGGCTGACCAGTATGGGGATCCAAACCCTTGACCCAATGTTTATTTTTGAAAATAAAATAGACTCTTCTCAGGGATAGTTCAGACACAGCAGGCTCCTCAGGTCCTAAATATATTTAAATGCCTTGAGCCAAAAATTTCATATGGCAGTGCTATTTATAATAGCAAAATTTGGGGTTAAAACTGAATGTCTGGAAATTAGAGAGTAATTTAAGAAATTCTTACAAGCAGCTTGCCTGGAATATTTCTTGAGGAATTTATAGCAATATGAGAAGTTTTCAGCAGTACACAAAACTGAGTATTAAGTATGGTCTCAAAAAAGAATCGTTGCTATTGCAGGAAGGAAAAAAAAAGTAAAAAAGAGAAAACAATTATACAGGAAATACATTGGAAAAAGTATACCTAAAATGTTTATAGTGATTTGGGAAGATTTTTGTTTTCTTCTTAAAACTTTATTTCCATATTTTCTACAATGAGCATGTGTTTTATGAATTGGATAAAATTATTTAATAAAAGCATAGTCTTTCCAGCTCTCATACCCTTTGATATTGGCTGTTAAAAAAAAAATTATAAAATCAGTGCTATTGTAGTGAGTTTATTTTTTAGCTTAAAGAAATTAATGCTTTTTCTTCTTAGTAAATGTCATATTCCTTGCAAAGAGTGATTACTTCTTGTAATTTTTCTTGTAGATTCTGGATTTATTTCACTTTCAAGATAAATTGACAACACGACAATTTCAGAGAGTTGCCACTACTACCTTTATAACTATGTCAAGAGAACGCCCACAACTGGCAGCAAAGTATTTGCTTCAGCCAATGTTAGCTCCTCTTCATCGATGTTTGAATACAACAGGTAAAGGAGGAAATCTGGTGATGGGGTATCCCTCCCTCTATAGGACCTTCTTGAGTGTTTCAGATTTAAATGATTTAAGTCTGTGGTATTTCAGTGTCTTTAGTTTTAATTTCTACCCCTAACTTTTTATTTTGAAAAATTCATTTTACAAAAGTTCCAAGGAGAGTACATTAAGCCACTTTTATACACCTAGATTGGCCAACTATTCACATTTTGGCCATATTTGTTTATCTTTATTTCTTTTATTTATTAATTATTATTATTATTTTCTTTTTACCTTTCTACACACATAAACATACTCGTATCTTTTCTGGAACATTTGAGAGTTAGTTGTAGACATCTTGACACCTCACGCCTAAATACTTCAGCATGCATCTCCAAAGAAAAATGTCAGTCTCCTATATAACAACAATGTAATGATCACACTCAGGAAATTGAACATTTATACACTACTGTCATCTAATACACAGATTTTATTCAAATTTCCCTAATCATCCGAATAATTTCCTTCATAGCAATTTTTTAGAAATCCAGAATGTAGGGGCCGGCCCGGTGGCGCACTGGATAGTGAACCGCTTGGGAAGCGCGGCGGCGCTCCCGTCCGAGGGTTCGGATCCCACATACAGACCGGCTCCCGCTCACTGGTTGAGCGAGGCGCGGGAGCAGCACCGAGGCTTGCGATCCCGTTGCCGGTCCCCGGTCCGGTACGGGGGCAACACTGAGGGTTGTGATCCGTTGCCGGACACGGAAAAAAAAAAAGACAAAAGACAAAAAAAAAAAAAAAAAAAAAAAAAAAAAAAAAAAAAAAAAAAAAGAAATCCAGAATGTAATCAAGCATCATGCATTGCATCTACTTGTCATGTCTTTTTAGTCTCATTTAATGTAAAATAGTTCCCTAATCTTTTGTTTGTCTTTCACCAGCACATTTTTGAAGAGCCCAGGTTATGGAATGTTCCTCAATTTGTATTTTTCTAATTGTTTCCCCATGATTAGATCCAGATTAAACATTTTGGCAGAAATACTATGTAGATGATGTTTTTATCCTTAGCGCATCACATCAGTGGGTACATATTATCAGTTTATTCCATTATTAAATTTGATCATTTGGTTAAGGCAGTAGCAGCCAGGTTTTTTCACTACAAAAATACCTTTCCTCCTTAATTATTTAATTAATTAAAATAATTAATGGGCCGGCCTGGTGGCGCACTGGATAGTGCGCCGCTTGGGAAGCGCGGCAGCGCTCCCGCCCCAGGGTTCGGATCCTACATACAGACCGGCTCCCGCTCACTGGTTGAGCGAGGTGCGGGAGCAGCACCGAGGCTTGCGATCCCGTTGCCGGTCCCCGGTCCGGTACGGGGGCAACACTGAGGGTTGTGATCCGTTGCCGGACACGGAAAAAAAAAAGACAAAAGACAAAAAAAAAAAAAAAAAAAAAAAAAAAAAAAAAAAAAA